ACTGAAGTCTCCTAACATACATATATCTTCATATTCATATTGTATTGTCTTTTTGTGTACTTTCCCAAAAAATCTTCTTTTTTATCATTTGGAGCATATATCACCACTAATAATATCTTTCTCAAATTCATCATTATCTCTACCATCAGTATTCTTCCCTCCACATCTCCAAAAATTATATTTGATTGAATTGCCTTTCTAATGTATAGTGCTATTCCCTTTTTACTTTGGTCGGCCAGAATTGTGTATAAGTTACCTAGTTTAACTGTTCCAAAAATGTCCTGTGTTTCTTTCTAATATGTACTTTCTGTAAGCATATAATGTCCAGTTTCAATTTCTTTTTAATTTGTTGAATATTCTTTTTCTTTTTATTGCCGAATTTAGTCTATTTATATTTATTGATTACTTTTATTTCTTCCTCCATGTCATTGATTTATAGGTTTAGTTGATCTAGTCATTCTTAGCTCCCTCTGCTCCTTTGTCTCTTTGGCCCTTGCTCCTTCTCTTAGCACTTTCTCTTCCTGTTCTTTCTCCGTCTTCCCTTGCTCTTTTCCCTTAGCTTCCTGGCATTTTGCTCCTCCCTCTTCTCTTACCAGCATTCCCTCCTGTGCTACTATATGTTGTTCATAAAATAGTTCTGCTTTCTCTAGTGTATCTAATCTGTGCCTTTGTTCTTGCCAGTTTAACAAAGTCCGCAGGAACTGAGGGGATGGGATGAGATGGGATGGGAGTCGGGACCTGACGCGCCTTTCCAGGACAGCCACCCAGCAGCGTCCCCATCTCTTACCTCTGCAACTGAGGGGGGGAGGGAGAGGGAGAGAGAGCCTGGCTCGGCTGAGCTGCCTGTCACCTAGCCAAAAGAAGCTATTAAGGGCAGAGACCGCGACACTACCCAGCGTGAGCAAGAAAATAAAGCTCCTTTTCTCAGGTGGTGTGCTCAGGCGGTGCTGAGGAGTTTAAGGCTAACCCAGAAGGGGTGGTGGCCTGGTGCTTGCTGCTTCTTCTAGCTTGGGGAGAGGCAGCTCGGCCAAGTAGGGCTCTCTTTCTTTCTCTCCTTCTATGGGTGGATCTGGCGGTAAGAGCGGGCTTCCTTGGCAGGCTTGAGGAGGGGAGGGGTGGAGCTTTTGCCCAAGGGTGAGAGCAACCCCCAGCTGCCTCTGGGTTAGGGTGGAGAGTCCCCTTGAGCCTCCCTCTCTCAGTTTTGTTGCACCGGGAGCATCCTTCTCCAGGCAGGGGTGAAGAAGAAGAGCTGCCGCCCTCCTCCCCCTGTGGCTCCTACCTAGCACTCTCTCTTCTCTCTCCCCTTCGCCTCCCCACACTTGTTTACCCGTCCCAGAGAGCTCGGGCTACGCCTCCCTCCAACCCAGCCTCCTTCCTCACCAGTTGCTCCTGAGCGAACTCTTCCATCCTTGGCTGTTGCACCTTGTTTGCAAAGTGGCTCTCAAAGAAAACAAAGTGGGCATGGTGCACCCAGAGCTGCCGCTTCTTTGCAACAGCCAAGGACTTCTTCCGCTTGGACCTCTGGGAGGGGGGGGGGCTGCAACACCGGCAGCTTTGGGGGGCTCCTTCCCTCAGTGGTTTGTTTTCTTACTTCTAGGTGGCTACACTGACTTTGTCTTTAAAGGCTGCTGCTACACGCCTTTTGATCTTTGTCGGGCATGGAGAAAAGTGACCCTGTGAAGGAACCGAACCTGCTGCTGAACTTTGAAGCCAAGAGGCTTCTTTTCCACCCAGCCGTTGGTACAGGGTGCCAAAAATACCTCCGGATGCTGCCAGCATCTTCGCGCATGCGCAGCTTTCTTCTCACCAGATGGAGGACTTTTTGGCACCCTGCGGCCAGCGGCTGAGTGGAAAAGAAGCCTCTGATCCTCCAGCACTCAAAGAGGCGGCCGAGAGGCTTCTTTGCCAGCCAGCTGCTTTCCAGCTCCAGTCAGCTTGCCATCCGACAGACGCGAGCAGCAACCAGGGGACCAGTTCGGGGGCGTGGCCAGCCTGCCAGTACTACCAGTTCAGCTTTTGGGAGGACTCTGTCCAGCAAAATTACTCAGAGTATGGGTACCTCCTTTCCAGAATAGGGGTCTGCTCAGTGATGCTCAGCCAGTCACCCAAGAGTAAACCTCTCACTTGCCTTTCAATTCCTTCCCACACACTCTCTCCCTTTCTTAACAGAAGGTCTTGCGCTTTGTCCTGACCTCCTGTACTTTCCAGGCTCTGTTCGTAGACCAGATCCTTTCTGTGGCTGGGAAAGGCACAGAGGGAGCAAGATCCAGCTGCGGCAGAGAAGGGATTTCTTCCTCAAGCACATTCACACACACATATACATAGTCTCTTCCATTCCCCACCATCCAATCAAAGCTAAAGAAACCTCTTGGATGAGAAGCGAAATGTCTTCAAAGAAAAACAAGAAAGTCCAGTTGCCTCTTGAAAAAAAGCACCTTTGGGACAACAGACTGAATTTAATTCAGCTCAATATTAATTTTATCGCTTTATAAAAAGCAGTAAAGTATAGCTTTGATTAGCTGCTACTGGTAAGAATACAGGTTATGTCTTATTTATATTTGATTTCTAATTTCTGATTGACCTCACGTGGGCCAGACAGAGATGGCCAAAGGGCTGAATGTGACCCAGGTGCCATAAAATGCCCAGGTCTGGTGTCTACTGTCTCCTCTATCAGTGACAGACAACCTGTGGCCTCAGGGCCAAATGCGCTTCCTAAAACTGTTTGTTGCCCCATTTCCTTTTTCCAGTGAAATATGAGCCTTGCCTGAACCCCGGTGTTCCAGAGAATGGGTACCAAACTCTTTACAAGCATCACTACCAAGCAGGAGAGTCCCTGCGCTTCTTCTGCTATGAGGGCTTTGAGCTTATAGGGGAAGTAACAATCACCTGCATACCAGGACATCCATCCCAATGGAGCAGCCAGCCACCCCTCTGCAAAGGTATGGGGAACCTTTCCCCATTGTATATGGCTTTCACTCACTATTTTGTGACCCTCTGCTTTGTTTGCCTGGCATTTTTAAAAATAGTCCCTTGGTCTCTTTCTCTCCACCAGTGGCNTTCCTTTCCTTTCCTTTCCTTTCCTTTCCTTTCCTTTCCTTTCCTTTCCTTTCCTTTCCTTCCAAACCACCAACATAAAGCATGTGTGAGAACATCTGCAGAAACCGGGCGCGATTAGCAAGATCTGAGGAAGATGGTTAAGCAGCAGCCATTCCCGGCAGGGTGTTTTGCCAGTTTGGGACGTTCTGTAAGAAGAGGGGAAAACGCAGAATCCGACACGCACAAACCCCGCCCCCAACTTCTGCTTTGCCCCCGGCACAAATCAGGATGTTTAAATTTGAAGCAGAGGGGCGAAATCTCGCTCTTTGCGCACTTCAATCCTAACAGCCGCCGGCCGTAGAGAGGAAACGGATTGAATTTTTTTCTTTCTTTTCTCGGTGTGGATTTTCTCTCTCTCCTGATGGTGTAATTACCCATCTCCCTCAAGACAGAGAGGTGTAAATTCACAGGTGGGCTCTGAAGTGATAAAAAGCCTGGTCCTCCAGTGGTCCCTTTGCCATCTCCCCTAGATCACACCCTGATCGATTTACTCCCGAGACAGTCCCTACCTGTCACATTAACAATGCCTTGGATTCCTATTCCTCATCCAAAAGAAATTTATTGCCTCGTGTGCACATGTGGATGCCGGAAGGAGTCAGACGTATCTGCTGTTGGCTAAAGCAAAGCTTACTCTCTGGCCAGTACTTACATCAGTTCATTTAGTGGCCATTTGACGGCACTGAAAAACGTTTTCCACACTTACGACTGTTGTAGGATTTCCCCATGGGTCGCGTGATCAAAATTTGGACGCATGGCAACTGACTCACATTTATGACGGTTGCAGTGTCCCGGGGTGACACAATCTGCTGGCAAGCCAGATTCACTTAACAACTGTATCACTAACTTAACAACTTGCAGGGATTCACTTAACAGTTATGGTAAGAGGGGGCAAAATTCACTTAAGAAATGTTTCACTTAGCAACAGAAATTTGGGGCACTATGGTCATAAGTTAAGGACAACCAGTAGACTCCAGTGATGGCAATCTGGTTGCATTGGAACAATCACCAGCTTAAGGTGAAAGTAAAGGTTCCCCGTGCACATATGTGCTAGTCGTTCCGACTCTAGGGGGCGCTGTTCATCTCCATTTCAAAGCCAAAGAGCCAGTGCTGTCCAAGGACGTCTCCGTGGTCATGTGGCCAGCATGACTCAACGCCCGAAGGTGCACGAAACACTGTTCCCTTCGCACCAAAGTGGTTCCTATTTTTCTACTTGCATTTTTTACCTGCTTTTGAACTGCTAGGTTGGCAGAAGCTGGGACAAGTCATGGGAGCTCACTCCGTTATGCGGTGTTAGGGATTCGAACCGCCGAACTGCCGACCTTTCTGATCCACAAACTCAGCGTTTTAGCCCCTGAGCCACCGCGTCCCTTTCCAGCTTAGTTTCCACCAAGCATGAAGTTCAGAGAGTTAACACTACAGTACTGAGAATTTTGTTTTTCTTCCTGTTTTTCCTTTTGATCCCCGTTTTTTGCATATTTTATTGCGCAGGTAGCCCTCGACTTAGAGCAGTTCACTTAGTGGCCAAAGTTACAACGGCATTGAGAAAAGTGACTCAGGACCATTTTTCACATGTANTAACTAATGATTGTAACTATTATTATGACCTATGACCTATTACTTGCTGTTTATATGTACACTGTGAGTTGGTGCACTGGAGACAAATTCCTTGTATGTCTTATCACACTTCACCAATAAACATTTCTATTCCTATTTCATTCTATTCTATTCTATTCTATTCCATCCTATTCCTATTTCATTCCTATTCCCATTCCCATTCCATTTTCTTATTCCATTCTATTCTAAGCATGGAAACTTAAAACTTAAAACTAAAAAGATGTAGTGCTTTATTTTTTTTCAAAGCAGCTGCTGAAGATGTTTTGTGACGACTACCTTTTTTCCCCTCCACCCCTAAATTCCTGGAATCCTCTCGCTCCCAAGTTCTCCAACCACTCATTCATTCATAGATATCGCAGGAAGGAAACAAAGACGGGTCTCCTTCTGAATGGACGGAAGTTTTTACAGAAAAGGGAAAACCCGAACATCTGGAGCCAGCTGCTGCAGAGCGCCCACATGAACTTCTGAGTCTCCAAGGAGGAGGAGGCTGCGGACTGAAGGGACATCGTCGCCATCCTTCCCGCATCGGTTCTCAGCTCCTTCTTCCCGGTGTCCCTTCCCCTCCCCTCGCTGCTGGGAGACTGAGCTCAGCCTGGCCACCTCTCAGGACGCTGCCTCGCCGGCGCTCAGGTGCTGCATTCTCCCCCCCCTCCCCTCCCCTCCCCTCCCCTTATCAAGCACAGCCATCCAATCCGTCCACCAGTGCCTCTTGTGTAGCAATTGGCTGGGCGCCGGTTGTCCTCACACTGCTGCTCCTGTCAGGTAGCCCCTCCCTTTCGCAAGGCAGCGCCTGCTGCCGCCCGCCGCCGCCACTCCCCTGGCTCCAAACACTGGCACGCAAGTGTCTCGGTTCCTAAGACCATCGAAACTGTGTTTTCTGATGGTCTTAGGCAACCCCTGTGAAAGGGTCGTTCGACCTCCAAAGCGGTCGCAACCCACAGGTTAAGAACCGCTGTTCTAGTGCCTTCTTAAATTTTTCTGGGATTTTAGTTATTCTAGTTTTCTCTAAGAATTGTCTTATTTTCCCTTCTGGTACCCTCTCATGTTGAT